TAGTTAATAAAATAAAAATACTTTTTATTGATAAATTAATGAGAAGAAATATTTTTGTATCTTTAGAGCACTAGTATTGAAGATTGCACAAGAACATTTGCCTGACACATGGCATGGTGTTCAAACGCGGTGTCTTTCGATTATCGGACGTTATCTAACTGCAAATGCCGCTGATGATACCTTAACATTAATTGGTAATTATGCCCGTTCTCAAGATCCACGGGTTCGTGCTCAAGCTTTCGAAACCATGGCAGAATTACATTCTCATAGAGGTTGTAGACTCCCTGCGAGTTTTTTTAAGGAAGCCTGTGCAGCTCTTGGCGATGATTATGAGATTGTACGCCGAGCTGTTCTTAAACTTATCTATCTTTTAGGTCGGGAGTATCCAGAAAAGTCAGTATATAAATATAAACATATTCAAAAAATAAAATCTTACAACTAATTTTTTTTTACATGTTTCTTTATATATTATAGTATCGTTGTTGGATCTGACGGAGAGGATGTACGAATGGTAGATTGTGCCTTTTCACAAATTTGCAGTCTTATGGGTGATTTATCACCTCGTGTTAGAGCTTCAGCAATGTCCCTTTTGGGAACCATGAAAAGTGTGTCACGTCGTTACATAGAACAAGCTTTAGATAAAAAACAAAAAGTAGTTGAAGCAGATAGACCCGAAGTTGAAGAGAAAAGTGGATCTTGTGGAGCATTCATTCATGGTTTAGAAGATGAATTTTTAGAGGTATAAATTTATCACATTATGTAAATTGAGAATTTTTATAGAATATTTATTAAATAATTGAATTAAAAATTTATACTTCACGTTTTTTCAAATTACATATTAGATAGTTAAACTTAAAAACAGTTTAATTATAATTGAACTTTTTTTTATGATCATTTCTCATATCGATTAAAAATAAATTTTATTTTAGGTAAGAACAGCAGCAGTTGAAGCACTCTGTACACTTTCGTTAGAACAACCAAGTATAGCTAGAATTTCATTGGACTTTATGGTGGACATGTTTAATGATGAAATTCAGGATGTCAGATTAAGAGCTATCGAATCTTTAAAGAAAATGTCATCAAGTGTAACCCTTCAAGAGGATCAATTGGAAACAATTTTAGGCGCTTTAGAAGATTTCTCGGGAGAAGTGAGAGAAGGCTTGCACGCTATGTTAGCTGCTAGTCATCTCGCTACCACAAATTGTCTTTACATGTGCGTTAATCGTTTACTAGATAATTTATCTCGGTACCCTCAGGACAGAGAAAGTATCAGGAGTTGTTTAGCAGAATTAGGCGCATCACATCCATACTTAACATTACCTCTAGTACCACAACTTCTTGGCCGACATCCTTTCTTCGACACACCCGAACCAGATGTGGATGAACCATCCTGTATCCTTTATATCAATTCTCGTCATGTAGTATTAAATTTTGAAGCTCCAATGTCCTTAACTTTTTATATTATATAACAGATGCAAGTGTACTTGTTTTAATCTTCAACGCAGCATTACACTGTCCAAGTATGCATGCTCTATTTACAGAGCATGCTTCTAAACACTATCACTATTTACGCGATACTATGCCGCATCTAGTTCCACGATTACGACCAGCACTTACTAGTTCAGGAATCAAAATGGAAGATATGGATAATGAAGAGAACAGGGATAAACGTGGTCGAGAGTTCTTGGAAAAGATGGGAATTGGAATCGAGAATGCTAGACCAGGAGGAAGAGTTCATACGCAGCTTTTAGAAACTGCAGCCATTGATCTTGATCGTATGGCAGAGATGGATCATCATATGGAAGGTGCAGCACGTTTCACCGCCTTGTATATTCGATGTCTGCTGCTATTGAAGTCAGTCCTCAAAGAATGTTCTGTGTCTTCGACAACGTCTATTTCGGCGAATCCAGTGCCGAATGCTAACAACAATATTTTCGTTCTTCTTCAGCATACACAAAAGTATGTATCTTTAATATGTATTAAAGAAATCGTGTTTTGATATTTTATATAATTTGGATTATAATAAAACAAATTCAATAAGAAGAATTATATAAGAAAAATAAATAAAATTATACTTATCATTTTTTAGATTACAACGTTTATTTAGTGGATTAGACGAAAATGATATTATATTGGCTAACGATATGTGGTTGAAAGCACTTGCTATAGAATTAGTTAGGGTGACTAAAAGTGCTACCGGCAGCGCATTACCACTAGCTCGTTATTTTCTATCTGAAGCAGATGCTTTACCTCAAGATACATCAAAGCTACCACCGTTCTCCAGGGCTCTAGTTCTACAAATACCCACTTTGGCGGACGTGAAACCGGGTTCCTTAACGCGGCTTTTGTTGCCATTACTTTTAACGCCTGTGGTACAGGGGGAAGAACGATTACCGAGACCGTCAGCGACGACGCGCTTCTGTCGAGCACACATCGAGGAACCGAGAGGCGATGCCGATGCTGCACTAAAATTCACGGGTGGTCTTTTGCTGGGAATTCCCTTAAACGCCAAGATATTGAAT